ACTGTGCTATTGCTTCAGCCCCAAATTTTAAGATTTTAAATACAATTTAAAATTGGGAACAAATTTCTTCCTTTTCTTTATTTTTCCTCTTAGTTTTTGGGCCACAGCAGCTGGGATACAGGACCACAAAGTAAGCTCTGCACTTGGGAGTCACTGCCAGACCATTTAGAAGCTAGAACCCGACCTTCTCCATATCTCTGGCCCAAGAATTTGAGTTGGTTTTTGTTTGTTTGGTTTGGGTTCTCAGGGCTTACTCCTGACTCTGCACTCAGGGATCACTCCTGGCCGGACTTCAGGAATCATATAGGATGCCAGGCATCAAACCAGAGCTGGGGGGATGCAAGCCAAGAGTACTACTGCTGTGGCCCCTGGAGTTTCAGTTTTTAAAGATGAAAACATTTTGCAACTCTATTAAACAATGTGAAGATACTGTTGAACAATGTTAACCCTACCAAATCATGTATTTACCGCGCTAAAATGGTAAATGTTACGCGTTTTATCAAGATAAAAAGTTAAGCATCATCTTTACTTTTAGCCATATGTCAAAAATTTGTCATTCTCTTCAATCACTTTTATTGCTAAATATTTTCATTACATATAATATTACTAGCTGTTATCAATAGCTTCTAGCTTTGACAGTGTTTAAGGCATAGAGGGTTGTATAATAAGTATTCCATAAAAATTTTTCAGCGGCACCTTCACAAGGCCACTAGGTGGGTATTATTACTATTTTCTATGCTACAAGCAGTAAATAGGAAGATCAGATAATTTAAGTAAATTGTCATGGTCACGTAAATGGCTCTAATTTCCAGCTCAATTTGACAGCAAAAACTCCACATCCAGAGCTACTTTGTTACATTTGCAAATTTCACTTAAGGCAGTTCACTGCTCCCAGGTATTAAAACAAAACAAACAAGTAAAGTAACAGTTTAAACAAATGAATAACCACCAAGCCTGCAGAGCAGTCAACCACTTCAGTCAAGTGACTGTGAATTCCTAGCTTTTCTCACAACAACCTTTTGCCATTCTAAGGATGCAGATGGCTTGTCCCTATCTGCTGTCCCATTACAACCAACACTGGCCCTGAAATTAAGCCATGCTGTGTTCCTAGGGGTATAGACCTCCAAATATCCCCCCTGAAAGTTTTTGTCCTTGGGGAGAGGGAGAGTCTTTGGACAAAGAAAGGAAGCAGTACCTCTTTACTGCTAAGATTGGTTGCCTACTTTTTTGAGGGGAAGATTTATTTTTTTTTTTACAGAGATCACTATCATTATCACTGTCCTCCTGTTGTTCATCGATTTTGCTCAAGCGGGGCCAGTAACATTGTGAGACTTGTTACTCTGTTTGGCATATTGAATACGTTTCATGGGTAGCTTGCCAGGCTTTGCCGTGCGGGCGAGATACTCTCAGAGGCTTGCCTGGCTCTCAGATAGCAGTGGAGGAATCAAACTCGGGTCGGCCATGTTGGCTACATGCAAGGCAAACGCCCCACCCGCTGTGCTATAGCTCCAGTCCATTACAGATATAGATAGATGGATGGATGGATAGATGATAGATAGATAGATAGATAGATAGATAGATAGATAGATAGATAGATAGATAGATAGACAGACAGATAGATAAATGCACAAAAGGCTCAACATTTAACAACATGTTAGTGTTTAACAACATGTTAGAAGGGTTTTATGGCTCCTGGGTGATATACAACAATCTTCACACTCTTTCCTCTAAGGATACTTTTTTGTAGCATTTTCAATGTTTTTTCAGAACAATACAAAACATATTATTTCAGTTGTGCTTTGGGACAGGGATTGGGGTTCGGGATGGAAACATCTGAAATACAGTGGTGGGAAGGTGTAATGGTGTTGGGATTGGTGTTTGAATATTAAATGTAATCAAATATTGTGAGCTACTTTATAAAATAAAATTTTAGTTTTTAAAAAAGAGGCACTGCTAGCCACTTGGCTCTTTAGTTTGCTTTAAAAGCTCCACACATGGCTGACCCAGGTTCGATTCCCAGCATCCCATATGGTCCCCTGGGCACAGCCAGGGGTAATTCCTGAGTGCAGAGTCAGGAATAACCCCTATGCATCGCTGAGTGCGACCCAAAAAGCAATAAATAAATAAATAAATAAATGTCCCACACTTACCTGTCTGGTTACCAAACAAACCTTTCTGTGCCATTCATGAGAAGCAAGGACTCTGAGGGAAGGCAAAGCAAGCTTCCTGTTTGTGAAGTGTGCCACAGGTCTCTGGGTAGGGCATCTTTTAAGGGCAGAAAGCTCACAGGCTGCTAAACTGGACAAGACCTGGCAAGATGGAGTTAGACACTTAGGAAACGGGTGCAAGGGCTGCAGGGGTCTCTTAAGTCGCCTCCTGGGAGGCCCAGGGGCTACTCACAGGGGACTTCTGCCAACCTGAGTGAGAATTGAATGTCAGGATCTGAGGACGCAGAGGAGCTTGGGTCTCTGATGCCTGGAACCAACAGACCTACCTCGCGGAGCTTGGGAGACTCAAGGTGCTCAGGATTGGGATGGAGGATGGGGAACATCATATGGATACCCAAATCAGTACCTGGGTCTGGTGCCTACCAAGCAAGTATCCCGTCTCTGACCACTGAGTTTGTTCCCTGGCTTCAGAATTAAGAACTTCTGAAGAAAATATTTTAAGTGCCCTCTGATGAGGAAATTAGCACCATATGCTAACTTTTAAGACAAAACATAAATGGCTACAATAAGTCAATTGAAGGAGATGGGGTAAATCATCAGAATGGAACAGGGAATACGTCTAATTTTGAGGAGGGAAAATAGACACATTTCTTAACTGTGAAAATGCTGCAGAATGTTAATAAACAGTTCAACCTTGGTCTTTCTTTTCCCCATCAGTTTTCATGTATGTGAAAGGATTCAGATACTCACCACCAGTAGTTTCTGCTGTTTGAGACTTGTTGCTGTGTCATTGAAGAATTGGGAAATAGTAACAATAATTTGCACATCTTCTTTGTGGTTTTTGGCCTTTAGTACACACACACACATATATATATATGTATATGTATATATATATATATATATATATATATATATATTGGGGTCACACTCAGCAATACACAGGGATTACTCCAGGCAATGCTTGGGGACCATATGGGATGCTGAGATTCGAACCCAGGTCAGCCGCATGCAAGGCAAACACCTACCCACTGTGCTATCGCTCCAGCCCCAGTAATATATATTTTATCTTAACTTTTTGGTCTTAATTCATCTTGCTTAGCCCAAGATGTCTCATATTTTACATTGCAATAAGCTATCCTTACTATACTTCTACTTTAATCTTTGTTTTGTTTTGGGTGGACACCAGGCGGTGCTCAGGGCACTGATTATAGGGGTTCTGGAGATCATACCTGAGACAGTTTTGTGCAAGGTAAATGTGCTACCCACTGTATTATCTCTTCCACCCTTCCTTATTTTTATCTTCGAAGTTGTTCAATTTTAGTGTAATCAGTGAAAATCAAACTTTTGCTTTTCAGAGAAATTAGAAAATTTTTTTATTTTAATAAGTGAGATTAGTCTGTTATGTTTATTGATATGACCTGCATGGTTGGTCTCTATTCTGCCATGTTATATTATATTTTTATTTATAGAGAAAGTTGTTCAGGGGTCAGAAAGATTGTACAGCAGGTAGGGCCCTTGCCTTGCATATGGCTGAGCTGAGGCTGATTCCCAGCAGCCCATATGGTCCCCAAGCCTGCCACAAGTAACCCCTGAGCACAGAGCCCAGAGTAAACCCTGAGATCCACTGGGTGTGTGGCCCCCCAAACCACAAAGTAAATAACTAAAAATAAAAAAAGTTGTCCATTATACATTTTCTTCTTACCCTCTTCCTTTTTCAAGATGCCTTCTATAGTACTTGATAGTAAAATGATAAGATACCCGAGTTTTAAGTTAAAATACTTTATAAAGAATGGCAGTAGCAGAAGGTGGTAGATAAAATAATGTTGATGGTTATTAAAGCTGGCTCTCAGGGTTGTTTTCTTTGTCATTTGTAATTCCTACTTTTATTTAGTTGGTGATTTTTAGGTGTTTTACTTTATAAGAAATATTTATAAGCAGTAATAAAAAATAATTTTGTCCTTTTCGCATCATGCAGTATTTGTGCTTTTTATTTATTTTTGTAATAAGCCAAGTTATATCTTTATGAATATAGGCCTGAAATAATTAAAACATAAGAGCTTCATAAAAAGAAGTGTTAGTCTCTAAATCAAATAAAGACCTTCTCTATTGCTTCAAGCTTTGCAGTAAATTATACATACTGTAAATGAGCACAGCTTCTTTCAACTTACAAGAAACAATTTTGTCTTTGTGAGTTTTATAACTACATCCAAGCGCCTATAAAAAATCTGTCTTGATGCGGTTCCCATGGTGACAGGACATAATATATGTGTCCATTAAATTTGGAAATGTAATGAAGTGTAATAAAAATCTACTTCAGAAAAATACACTTCTCAGCATATTTTTATTAATTAAAATATTACATTGGGCATTTTTCATGTCTGCATGCCTGACAGCAAATAAAAGCTTTGCCACAGATTAACTGTGACTCTTGAGTTCCATCCAATATTAATTGGTACAAAATAGGGAAGGCATTTTTACAGAGAAAATATTTTGACTGGTGGCCCAGAGTGATTAATGAGTAAACAGTTATGCTTTCTGAACTGTATATAGACCATTTCAAGTGCCACCAGCAAATACAGATTTTGACATTTGTGTCCCTGGGAACAGAGACACAGCCAGAAGTGGTTATCTTTCTTTGGAGATAGAAGAGAAGTTCCGTATTGCTGACGTCTAACCCAAATTTTGTTGAGTGTGTTTGAGGAAGACATTGTATCATAAAAGCACTTTAACGATACTTCACTGTGGGGAAGATATAGTACAATAAAAGCAGTTTACGAAACCCTGCATCAATTCAACCAACAAAAAAAGCACAGACCTCCTCACATTAAAATAATGGTCTCCTTGCAACACAAGAAGGTAAGTTGAAAAAATAAATTAGTGAGGGCCAGGGGAGGGTAATATGAGAGCATGCCAAGAAAGAATGAGCAAAACCACTCACATTCTACTTTAGATAGCTAAAACTCTTAAGTGGATTAGGAGGAGAGTGAAAAGTTTTATTCAAAATAATCAGGCCATCACCTTCCTATGATCAGTAGAAAACTCTCAAGGACCTTCGTTTCAGCTCCCGCGTGTGTTTATATATTCAAATTAATATTTAAATGACTTACATATCATGAAAACACATGGAAACCATAGCCAGGAAGTGTATGCACAGCTCTTGACCAATGCCCCAAACCGAGAAGAACATATGAAGTCTTTCGCACATTAGATTAATGTGAGGTATCAGTTGCCTTTTGCTTTCTTGTGTCCTATTTCAATGCCATAAGAATCTTCACTGATCTGGTTGCTGTTCCATAAAGAAATGGATCAATTAAACCACGTTGATTAACTACTCAACTAAAGAACTAATGAACTGGAATTATTAGGTCATAATTCCTCTCCCCAAATATTGTTTTTAAGCACTCTTATGGAATTCCAGTCCTGTGCCCAAGCCTCAGTGCCCTATTCAGATTTGGAGGAAATTAGGAAAAATACCACTGCCCCCACTTCAAAGTTCCATACATTACAATTTTTAAAAAAATTTTGAGCATGGTCTTTATACTGGACACTGCTTACATCTCTGAGAGCACACTATCAAAATTATACTATTATGGGATAGATTTACCAAGCTGTTTCAAAGAAAAAGCAAACCATGGAAATCTTCATGTGTTTGGAAATTTCCCAAAGGAAACTTTCTTCTTTCTTCCCCGTCTTGTTTCCTTTTTTTTTTTTTTTGCTTGTTTATTTGGTTGTTTGCGTATAGAGAGATTTAGATGTTATATAAAACAAAATGTCAGTCTAGAAATAAAAAAACAAGACAAGTTAGAAAACTGAAGGCCACTAAATCTGGTGGATCCTGGGCCATGAGCGCATCCCATGACCAAGAACTCTTCCTTCCATGGTGATATAGTAAGCAAGCTATTTTCACTGGCCATGTGGGGTGTTCCTTTATCACATTATATCAGGGGGTACCTGACTGTGAGGACTCTCAGTAAGCTCTCCTGGTTTTCAATATATTTCCTCTAGCTCCGAACTGTTCTAGACTTCCTCTTAAGTGTTCCCCGAGACCCTGGTACTTCATTGTATGCTGAATAACTTATCAGACTCACTGTAACTGTCCCCATGTTCATATCTGCTGACCCACCAATCCATGAATACTTGGTAGAGGGAAAATATTATTACCATTTTCAGCATTCCAACACCTTAAAATTTGAGAGGGATTGGGGGTGGTGTTCAAGCAGTTCTGAAAGGGTCTAGGGGCCACTCCTGGAAAGATTTGTGGAACTGGGCCTATTAGAACCAGAGAATGCAATGTTGCTCAGGCTCTGAGTTTCTGGTCATTATTAGGGTCACACTTGCAGTGCTCAGGACCTCCAGGGCTCTATCTAGAGAGGTTTGGGGGGGACCATGTTGTGTCAGGAATTGAACCCAGGTCCTAGTCAAAATTTAATACATAAGTGTTGATATATACGGGTGAAAAAAAGGTTTTGTAATGTGTTTGTAAATTATTTTGTCAGATACATAAAAGCACATTTCATCCTCTGTCTGTAGACACAAAAGAATGTTTAGTTTATTCTCTGTTTAAAATGTATCTGTATTATTCAATTTGAATCAGGAGGAGAGAAAATAGATAGGTCAGGTAACCAACTTGGCTTACCTGTGCTCATGTACTAATCAAGTATTTGTAGTAGGATTTTGAAACCCTACAAAATGTCAGTTATCTTTTGTATTCAACAGGTAGGCAACAAAGTGGAAATGGCTTCTGCACCCTAGAGCTTTCATTGCACTGTGTTTGGGAAATACAATGAAGAGGCAACTAAAATTACCAGGATGCAATCAATTAAACAAACAATGAAGTGACTAGAAAAGTAGAGAAAACTTCACTCAGATATGGGAGGAAAGGCTTTCCTGAGATATTTTTGACATTTGCTTTGGTTATTCCTATTTCACATATGAGTTAAACCGCCCCAACTTGAATAGAAACTTCTACAACAAAGACAAATAGGTGATCACAAGGCCATCTATGATTCATAAAAATGTCCTGAATCACTTATCATCAGAGAAACACATATAAAAATAACAATTCCATATTATCTCATACCAGTGATACCTACACACACCCACAAAAAAAAAAAAACAATATTGGCATGGATATAGAGGCCCTCATTATCTGCTGGGAGGGATATCAACTGGTTCAACAGTTACGGAAAACAAATAGCAAGAATCTGGAAACAACCCAAGTCCTATGACCAGATGATTGAATAAAGAAATTGTGGTACACAATAAGAATAATACTCAGCTATAAGGAAAGATGAAATCATGTAATTTTCTCCTACATGGATAGATTTGACAGAATAACATCAGGTTAGAAATACAGTACAGAATGTTCCCCCCTCATATCCAGTATATAAAGAAACATAGTAATAAGGACTGGAGCTATAGCACAGCGGTAGGGCGTTTGCCTTGCATGCAGCCAACATGGTCGACCCGAGTTTGATTCCTCCGCCCCTCTTGGAGAGTCCGGCAAGCTACCGAGAGCATCTCGCCCGCACAGCAGAGCCTGGCAAGCTACCCATGATGCATTTGATATGCCAAACACAGTAACAACAAAAGTCTCCAATGGAGACGTTACTGGGTCCACTTGAGCAAATCAATGAAGAACGGGAGGACAGTGACAGTAACAGTGACAGTAAGGAAATAAACAAAGCCAAAAGATAAAAGGAACTGAGAACTGATCCTGAGTAGGAAGCATATCACTGCATTGGGGAAAAGGGAATAAGACAGGGAGGATGTGGTGGAAACAGACAATGAAAGAGAGAAGCTGACACTGGTGAGGGGTGTGGTGCTGGAATGTTCTGTGCATGAAACCTATGGTTATCAGTTTTGTAAACCATGATGCCTAAAACAAAATTTAAAAAAAAAGAACAAAAGTAATAGTACACAAAAAGCATGCTTGACTTGCATGCTGAAGACCTGGCTTGAATCCCTGTCACTGTGTATGATCCTTAAGTGCAGAGCCAGGAGTAAGCCCTGAACACTACCACCAGGTGTGACCCAAAAAAACAAAATCCAAAAACACAACCTTTAAAAAAACCACCCCGACCTTTAAGTTCTTCTTATATCTCAGCATGGGGAAACTCACAGATGATGTGGGTTTTTATTTTCCTTTAATTGAACTAAATAACATTTCACATAATTTATACTGGATAAATAAATGAATGTCTCTTCCATTTGAGATGCTGAAACTATGCATTCAGAAACGTAAGGATCTTAGGGTGTGGGGCACTTCACTTTCACGCAGCTGATCCAGATTTAATACTCAGAACCTAAGTATGGTTCTAAGTATGGGCCCTCAAGCCTCACCAGGTGTGATCCTTGATTGCACATCCAGGAAAAAGCCAAGAGCACTGGGGAGTGTGTCTCCAAAACAAAAACAAAAAGAAGTAAAATATTTAAGGATCTTATTAATGTTTAATAATGTTTTATAAGGGGTCTCATTTCCCTAACCCTGAAAGAGTCTCCAGCTGAGTTGGGAAGAACGAGAAAGCTCGTACTAAGCAAAGGGCGCTCAAGTCAACAGGGGGGAAGGTGCCCCACAAGCAGCTGGCCACCATGCCTGCACGGGCAGCGTGCAGAAGCCGCTACCGGCTGGACACCATGGTGCTATGGGAGATCCACTGCTACCAGAAGTCCACCGAGCTGCTCATCCGCAAGCTGCCGTTCCAGTGGCTGGTGCGCAAGGCCAACCTGGTGGGGCTCTTCGAGGACACCAGCCTCTGCGCATTCCCTGCCAAGCGCATCACCATCATGCCCAAAGACATCCAGCTGGCGTGCCGCATCCACGAAGAGAGAGCATAAAGTTTACAATGCTAAAATCTCAGGGCTGGGACAAATAGAGACACTACTGGCCATTCGAGTAAATCGATGATTAATGGAATGACAGTGACAGTGACAGCGATTAATGTTTAAGATTAAAATTATTTTTGGTGACAACATTTGGGCCATATTTTTTTATTTTGGGGTCACACTTGGCGATGCATTGGGGTTACTCCTGGCTCTGCACTCAGGAATTACTCCTGGCAGTACTCAGGGGAACCATAAGGGATGTTTGGAATCAAACCCATTTGCAAGACAAATGCCCTACCCACTGTGCTATCGCTCCAGCCCCCATTTGGGCCATTTTTATAAATACATCTAAAGCAGAAACAGGACTTAGAGAGACAGTACAGTGGATAGGGCCTTTGCCTTGCATGTGGCCAACCCAGATTCTATCTCCGAAAACCCCATAGGTCCCCCAACACCACCATGAGGATCCCTGAGTACAGAGTCAGGATTAAGCCCTGAGTACAACCAGCCATGGCCAAATAAAAAAAAAAAAGAAAAAATTTAAATAAATAGACAAATGCAAAGACAGCATTCCTCTGTACACAGTGCAGTTATACATGTTGATCTCAGTTTAGCTGATTCTTTTTTTAACCAGGGACTGATGCAATGAAATCATCTCAATAAATTTTGCTAAATATCAAAGAAGGTTTCACAGTCAAAGAGAGCCCCTGGGATGCAATTACTACTCTTTGAAGGACACTTGACTGTCACTGAACATCTGCTTTGCTTCATGTACCTGTACTAAATCTGAGCACCTGAACATATGATAACTGATGAGAACAAACAACAGGAGGCCATTCTGGAGACACTGGGATCTTTGCCACAGGCTAAATTACAATGCAGATCAATGGATCCCTGCCCCAAGAATACAGAAATATTAATTCAAAAACATACATCCTTCTATGCTCATTACGGTATTATTAACAACAACCGAAACCTAGAATCAGCACAACTTTGCAAAAACAGAACAATGGATCAAGACATTTTGGTGTATGCACACAATGTGAGAAAAATAACTCCTTAAGTTTGCTGCAACTTGATGTAACTGAACAGTCATGCTATGTGAAGCAAGTCATAAAGAAACAGGCAAATACCAAATGATCTCACTCCTATGCAGAGTATAAAGACTCAAATCAAGGGCTAAACACTTTCCAATGGAAACCTCCCTGCAATATGACCAATTGAATTATGATCTGTTGCTTCTATGGTATGTGTGGGAATGTACCTTGGGCTAATGGTGGTGTGATCCAAACATTTTAGTGGTGGGCAAAGTTTAGCAGCACTGAAAGTATCACTTGATCACTTGACTTCGTGTTAATCGTTGATTTACTCGAGTGGGCGCCAGTAACGTCTCCATTTGTCCCTGTCACGTGTTAGTGTAGCCCAGTGGCGTCTGTTTGTTCTAGGAACATAAAGAGCCTCAAACCGATCGTTCATGATCTTGATGAAGAAGTCTGACCATCTGGTAGGTAGGCTATTGTAGGATAACACTCTTTTGTCCTTCCTCAGGTAGCTTAGGTTTATCAGGTCACACCTATCTAAGGACACTGAACTTGTATTGTAAGCAATGTCCTTTCTGTGTGGACACAGGAAAACAGTTGATATTATGCTTTGTAACTTGGGAGTTGATTGACTCCGAATAATATTTACTCCTGGGCATCTGCTTTCTTGACTCAGCTGCCCTTAGTTCCTAGCACCCCAAAAGCAGGATCCCGACGATGGATTGAATGGACCCAGGGCAAGCTGTGAGCTACCGTGGCATCTAAATGGGCCAGGCCAAAGCACCACGATACTCAACTATAAGTTGAGGGCATGATCATGGACATCAGTTAGGCCAAAAGTTAGGTATGTAGTAGACATACCCACAAACCACCTTGGGCTCAGCTATATAATTGGAGGTATGGCCTATCTCGTTCCTGATCAAACTGCTTAACGGCCATGATCCCAGAGACTCAGAAACAAACCTCGAAACCCAACAGCTTTTGGCAGAAATGCGTCTGGTCCCTGCAGTAGGTTACTGGTGCTGGACCACCCCAGGTGAGAATAGATTTTGTGCCTTGGCCTGTTCCTCCTGGCAGTCCGGTGCTGCCATCCTCCAGAGGCCACTAAACAATCAGGTTTGGGCCCACAGTGATGAGACACGTGGGCCTCATAAGATGGGTGTGGGGGGTATGGTGCCACCAGCAGGTCAATCTGTACCTGTGAGGCGAGTGCATCAGCAGCCTCATGGCGCCTTCAGACTTCCAGATACCCCAAAATTGCTGCTGTACCTTTGGCCAGACCCCAAAAACCTGGGGCAAAGTTTACCAAGAAAGTAAAATGCCAAAAGTTAGGTATGTGGGAAACACACCCACAAACCACCTCTGGCTCAGCTATATAATTGGAGGCAAGGCCTCTTTGGTTCGTGATTGAACTGCTTAATGGACATGATCCCAGAGACTCAGAAACGAATCTCAGAACCCAGTGGCTTTAGGTAGAAATGCGTCTGGTCTCTGCAGTAGGCTACAGGTGCTGGGCAAACCCAGGTGGGAATAGGTTTTGTGCCTTGGCCTATTCCCCCTGGCGGTCCAGTGGCCGCCATTCGTCTGAGGCCACTGGATAGTCACATTTGGGCCCCCAGTGACGAGACACACGGGACCTCACGGGATGAGGGTGGAGCCGGGCTTGTCCTCCCCACCCCAACAAGACCCCAAGTCATCGCCCACAAACGGCCTCTCTGGCTCCTCATCAAGCTGCTCAACGGCCTTGATCCCAGAGACTCAGAAACAAATCTCAAAACCCAGCAGCTTTTGTCAGAAATGTGTCCGGACCCCGCAGTAGGTTACTGTCACCGGACCACCCCAGGGGGGAATGGGTGCTGTCCCTCCGCCTGCTCCCTCTTGGCGACTTGGTGACTATCATCCTCCAGAGGCCATTGGACAGTCAGGCTTGGGCCCGCAGTGATGAAACTTGTTGGGTCTCACGGGATGGGGGGGGGGGAGGTGGAGCCGGGCCTGTCTTCCCCACCCCAATGAGACCCCAAGTCATCGCCCACGAACGGCCTCTCTGGCTCCTCATCAAGCTGCTCAACGGCCATGATCCCAGAGACTCAGGAGCAGATCTCTAAACCCAGTGGCTTTTGGCAGAAATCCCTCCAGATTTAAGTGTTAAAATTTCAGAATTTCAAAACCACATGGCCCTACTGCAGCCACACGACATCATATGTTATTCATAACCAGCAATAGAACACAAATTGTCTATTGTTGACTTTTCAGCAGATCTGAGTGTTGGGGTGAAATCTTAAATAATGGTGGGTCTGGTGTCGAAATAGTGAATGTGATCAAAGTAGAGAGAGAGTAATGTAGAAATCATCTGCCCCATAGGCAAGGGGAGGGTGTGGGATGGGGGTATACTGGGATTTTTGGTGGTGGAGAATGGGCACTGGTGAAGGTACGGGTGTTTCATAGTATGACTGAGACTTAGACCCAAAAGCTTTGTAACTGCTCTCAGGGTGATTCAATAAAAGGTAAAGGTAAAGGCACTCCCGTTGATCGTCGATTTGCTCAAGCGGGCCCAGTAACGTCTCCATTGGAGACTTTGTTGTTACTGTGTCTGGCATATCGGATACTCTCGGTAGCTTGCCGGGCTCTCCGAGAGGGGCAGAGGAATCGAACTCGGGTCGGCCATGTTGGCCGCTTGTAAGGCGACCGCCCTACCACTGTGCTATCGCTCTAGATTCAATAAATAAAACTATAAAAAATGGAAAAAGAAAAAAAAGGTAAGGTGGAGTTCATGCACAATTCAATCAGCTAATCAGTGGCTGAATAAATAGCAGTACTCCTACAAAAAAAGGGAAAAAAAAAAGATGGGTGTGGATCCGGCCCTTTCCTCCCGGCCCAAGGAGACCCTGAGTCCCCGCCCATGAACGGCCTTTCTGGCTCCTGATGAAGCTGCTTAACGGCCATGATCCTAGAGACACAGGAACAAATCTCAAAACCCAGCAGGTTTTGGCAGAAATCCCTCCAGATTTAAGTGTTAAATTTTCATAATTTCAAAATCTCGCGGCCACTACTGCAGCCACTTACTCCTGGGCATCTGGGCAGCCACGTGACATCATATGTTATTCAAAATCAGAAATAGAAAACAAATTGTCTACTGTTGCCTTTTTGGCAGATCTGAGTGTTGGGGTAAAAAGGTGGGTCTGGTGTCAAAATATTGAATGTGATCAAAGTAGAGAGAGAGTAATGTGAAAATCATTTGCCCCACAGGTTGGGGGAGGGTGTGCGATGGGGGTATACTGGGGTTTTTGGTGGTGGAGAATGGGCACTGGTGAAGGTATGAGTGTTTCATTGTATGACCGAGACTTAAACCTAAAAGTTTTGTAATTTCTCTCACGATGATTCAATAAATAAAATTATAAAAAATGAAAAAAAAGTAAGGTGGAGTTCATGCCCAATTCAATCTGCTAATCAGTGGCTGAATAAATATCAGTACTCCTACTAAAAATAAATAAATAAATAAATAAATAAATAAAATAGTGCTTGATATACTTGGCATGAATGTTTGTTAAAAAGAAGAATATAATTTGGAATGAAATGGAATATGAAGTCATTTTTTTCAGGGGCTATCAGTGCTTGCTTTATATGTACAGAGTCAGGAGTAACCCCAAGCACAGAGCCAGTATTAAGCCAATGACACTACTGCATGTGGCCTAAAAACCCCACATAGTTTTTTAAAGTTCTATCCAAATTATTTTATAAGAAAAACTAGGATAGACATATAAATCAGTTCTTAAAAATCTCGACTGTGAAAAGAAAACAAGGTCAGAGAGTAAACTGTAGAATTATTTGTAATAGTTATATCATAGTGGTATAACTCTGATATGGGCTGGAGCGATAGCACAGCAGGTAGGGCATTTGCCTTACCAGGCCAAGCCAGGTTCAAGCCCTCCATCCCTCTCAGGGAGCCTGGCAAGCACCCAAGAGTATCCCGCC